CAAAACAGCACGCACATTGTAAATATGCAATATTTCACGGCATGGCCCACTTGCAGACCCCGTTGAAGATATAAGAAATCCATTAAATAAATAATACTTATAAGTAAGCCAGTAAGCCACAAACGAGAGATCCCAGACCCATGTAGAGGTCCGGCCATTACCTATCCCAAAATTAAAATAAATCACGTAAAATTAAACAAAAGTTTGAAAGGAACGAAATACTTCGCCACAAAATGAAAATAACGAAGTAAAACGTTACTTCTTGAAACGACTTCGTTCCAAGCAAAAGTACTCCAGAAAAAGATTACTTGGTAACATGCTGACTTCTCAAAAATAGTACTCAAGTACAGTAACGAAGTACATTTACTTCATTACTTGACACCACTGCTCGTGTAGATAGCGCTTCGTAGGTTCAAAATACCATTATGACGTGTTTTTGAAAATATATGGAACAATAACCGTAGTACTACTCGCTATACCTTGTGTACACTAGTCAACTGCTGATACCTCATTAACATCCGCCAAAGAGAGACCCGACAAATGAAGCATTTCTCTTCTTCACTCATTTTGCAAAGTATACCTACTTCCAATCAGAACGCCCCTCGAGGGTTTTTGTAACTGCGACAACAAAAACACTTGCCCATGAACTACCGAAACGGCAATGTATGACAAACAACATTAGATGCTAGCATGCAGTAAAACTGAAGTTATTGTTGGGGAGATCCAGATTTCCTAGAATTTCTGTAATTAATAATCGGTCCTTAGTCTGCCTTGAGGACGGAAGTGAAAACGAACAAATTCTTCACCATGACTACTTTATTTTTACTAGAAATATTAAATACAAAATATGAATTTTCTAACTATTGTAGTATAGAATTGTCAAATCTACCAATTTATTATCCGTATAATCTCTTTCAAGCTAGATAGAATCGTATAGCTATACGATTCTCCATAAATAACAATAACTCCAGTGCAATTAAACAGTAATTCCAAGTACCACTACAAAAAGAAACTGGTATACTTGCGTCTACTGGCAAGTTTTGAAAACAAAAATTATTCAACATCTTTACTTTGCGTGAAGAATTAATTTGTTTTGAAAGCGTGCGTCGTCTAGCTACCGTGTGGTTCTAGATCGCAATGTTGGTTATTATACAGGGCACGTAGCAAATAAGGCAATCCAAGTTTGACAGGTTCTCGTGTGTTAACTATTATGTTTATAGGTTTTCTGTTTCGTATTTAAGATCAGGCTTTTAGCTGTCAAATGACGCCCTTACTGAATCATTGCGAAAAAAATGACCAAATACGATCTGATTTAAAGTGGTCGTTTGAAATCGCATTTTTCCACATATAGGATTTAAATGCTCTTCCAATTTTCGAACATTTGCCCAAATGCTTGCTCCCCATTTGGGAAACGTATGACATATGCGAGTTCAGGTTTTGTAAAACGTTTTAACCACTCAATATCGATGCAAAATTACGAGTGGTTGCGTCAACTTTATTCAAGCGACTTAAATTTGAATCCCAAATGAAAATGCAATTCTTACATGCAATTCCTAACGGTGGAAAAATGCGTTTTCGAGCGTCATTTTTAAATATTCAGATCGTATATGGCAATTTTTGTCCACAATGATACAAGAAAGGTATCATTCGACAGCTATATTAACCCTGATCTTTGTTTGGTATGAAAACAGTAAATGGATAAACGTAATATATAATGCACGATAACATAGCCAAAGTTCGATTACCTCTTTTTTATACACCCTGTACTTTCATGTCGCGCAGTCACGAAATATACCTAATATGTTCATTGTCAACAAAAAATGCCTAAAAATTGTTTGGTTCCGGTTTCATCCTTTAAAATATTAGGGTCCGTAGGTCGGATTTTTATTTTTTTAATTTTTTTTTATTTGAATAGCTTATATAGCCGATATGAAATTTATGACAGAAATTTATGATATTTCAATGCTCAGAACTCGTTATGGAGTACATTACAATATTTGGTACAAAAGAGCGTCTCACTTATTGTCTGTCTTGTGTGTGACAAAATACACACGAGTTTTGATGACTACTGAAGTTTTGAAATGCTTTTTAAATTGTTGCCAATAAAAATAGGGTCGGGTGGTCGTGAAACCGGAACCAGACGACACTTTTAGGCCTATAACTGTATTTTTGTATAAGTATTTCTCATTAGAAACTCGAATTATCTAACTTTGCAAATTATCTATCAACTCTTGATGTATCCCTATTAACTAAACCGCGGCAACATTGTCATACGATGTAACGACGTCGGTCTTGCCCGAATCTTTGCCCTCTTCAACATCAGTCTTCCCATAGGTCAGAAGTAGATTGTCATTGGTATCATCATTACGATTAACTTCAGACATATCCATAGTCGGTAGGTTTTTCCACGCGGGAAGATAAGAACCACCAAAACCTCCACCATCCTCTGTACCTCCCGCCGAATCGTTGGGCGCAGGATCAGATTCATCAGGGATACAGCTAATTCGGAGCTCGCTTGATTCAGGCTGTAACTCGCCGTAAAAGTTGCCACCTTGTCCTTGATAGGGTTTATTTTGAACTGAAAAGCCACTAAGCTCCAGGTTTTCTTCACTGGGAAGATGGAACATACCAGTTGACCGTTCACGACGGCAACGCACGATTAATGTTACAAGGGCAATAAGGAATGCCAATCCTAAGACTGAACCAAATACAATGTATATTATTAACGCAGTATTATCGTCATCGTCATCATTTTTACTTGTTGGTTTTGTACTTAATTCTTTTACCGAGGTTACTGCCAATTGTGTTCCATTATAACTAATATTTAGTTGGTTGTTATTCACAGCATCTTCCAATTTCCGAATTATATTCTCATTGTTTTCGTTTTGTATTTCCATGTCCACAAGAATAGACCCGCATTTGACAGCAGTAATTTTTATCTTCGAAGCTGAAATGTTCAAGACTTTGCTGCAAGATGACCGAACTGCATCTTTAAAAGTGGTAGACTGTGATGGTACTCGGTTGCAATTCGCATCTATAGTAATACGAACTAAGACTGCAGGAAAAGCAGGCGTTGTTACTTGAGAGCTTGAGCGATGTGCCATCGAGGAAATTGCAGGGGAAGATGATAGACCTTTCATCGAGCTGGTCATATTTACTACAGGGGATGTTCTCACATGAGTTGCAAAGCTCGTGTTTGTTTTTCCAGTGGGTGACATGGTCATATTTACTACAGGGGGCATTTTCCCAGTGGGTGACATGGTTTGCATGATTGCAGACGAGTGAGACGACAACACAGTGGCTTTGGCAAAAATCGATGAGTTTGTCGCGCGTGTGGTCATATTTTCTACAGGGGATGTTGTTACATTTGTTACGAAGCTCATGGTCATTTTTCCAGTGGGTGACACGGTTTGCATGACTGCAGACGAAAACATGGTCGCATTGAGAAATATCGATTCGTTTATAGCTTGTGTACTCATTGCGGACGCTGTGTCGCTGGCAGACATGACAGGCAACGTGGATGATTGGGCCAACACTTGTGACGTGGTTTCACGTTGAGGAGAACCTGACAATGTTTCAGTTACAATGGTGGTTGATGACACTGATAATGTAGTTAACGTGGGTGTGATTGGTTTTGTAGTTAATCTGTTCACTGAGGTTACTGCCAATGTTTCATTATTATAACTAATATTTAGTTGGTTGTTATTCACAGCATCCATTAATTTCTGAGTTATATTCTCATTGTTTACGTTTTCTATTGCCATGTCCACAATAATAGATCCACAAGTGACAGCAGAAATATTTATCTTCGAAGATGAAATGTTCAAGACTTCGCTGACAGATAACTGAACAGCGGTGTTAAAATCGGTAGACTGGTGGTTTGGTACTTGGCTGCAATTCGCATCTATAGTAATACGAACTAAGACTATTTCGGAATGAACAGGCGTTATTACTTGAGAACTTGAGGGATGTGTCATCGATGAAATTGCAGGGGAAGATGATAGACCTTTCATCGAGTTGGTCATATTTACTACAGGCGTTGTTCTTACATGAGTTTCGAGGCTCGTGGTCATTTTTTCAGTGGGTGACACGGTTTGTATGACTGCAGACGAAAACATGGTCGCATTGAGAAATATCGACGCGTTTATAGCGCGTGTACTCATTACGGGCGCTGTGTCGCTGTCAGACTTGACAGGCAACGTGGACGATTTTGCCAACATTTGTGACGTGGTTTCACTTTGAGGAGAACCTGACAATGTTTCAGTTACAATGGTGGTTGATGACATAGGATTGCTTGTCAAAGAATCTCTTGACACTGATAATGTAGTTAACGTGGGTGTGATTGGTTTTGTAGTTAATCTGTTCGCTGAGGTTACTGCCAATGTTTCATTATTATAACTAATATTTAGTTGGTTGTTACTCACAGCATCCATTAATTTCTGAGTTATATTCTCATTGTTTACTTTTTCTATTGCCATGTCCACAATAATAGATCCACAAGTGACAGCAGAAATATTTATCTTCGAAGATGAAATGTTCAAGACTTCGCTGACAGATAACTGAACAGCGGCTTTAAAATCGTTAGACTGGTGGTTTGGTACTTGGCTGCAATTCGCATCTATAGTAATACGAACTAAGTCTATTTCAGGAGGAACAGGCGTTATTACTTCAGAACTTGAGGGATGTGTCATCGATGAAATTGTAGGGGAAGATGATATACCTTTCATCGAGCTGGTCATATTTACTACAGGCGTTGTTCTTATATGAGTTTCGAAGCTCGTGGTCATTTTTTCAGTGAGTGAGTCGGTTGGCATGACCGCAGACAAAAACACGGACGCATTGGTTGCACTAGTCGGTGATTGTACGGTGGTGTTTGGCATGGTGGCATTCCTAGGCATAGTTGTTGAAGTGGTAGGAACGCTTGTTGGAGAAGAGCTGGAGACAATCATTCGTGATGTGCTGCTATTTACCGTGTCTGGTGGTGTGGTCATATTTTGAACTGTTGATCGAGTGGCTTTCATCATAACAGTGGATGTAGTTGTTGCATTCAAAATTGGTGCTGTGGTGCTGTTTACCAGTGTCGTGATCGTATCTGACGTTACCATCATGGCGGCACTCGGAATCATGCTTGACACGTATTGCGTGTCAGAGGAACTGGTCGAACTGGCAATGGCAGATGGGGTTGCCTGAATGATACGTGTCACGTTGGGTTGAACGATGATTGATTCCTTGGTAACGTTTGTGGTAGCTGGCACATTAGATGTGACCACAGCATGTGTGGTAAATTGCGCTACAGAGTAGGATGGGATGGTGGTGGATGGAATCACTGACAGTGTTGCAGTAATTGCCCAGGGAGCTCTTTCCGTCGATAAAGAAATGTTACTATTCATTACAGATGCTGTATCTTGAACAAAGACCAATGACTCACTGGGACTTCTTGTCGTGACTGGCGGAGATGTTGGTTTAATCATGTTTGATGGATTGATACCTGTCTTCAAACCGTCACTCGAACTTGCCATGGGCATGGCTGACGATGGAATTTTCATTGATGAATGGGGATAATTGCTTTTAGAATTAGTAGCTTTACTAATGCCCACTGTATTTTTGAATGCTAAGACGGAACCAGTTTGGAAAGACGTTGACATTTCGCTGACATACATGCTAGCCACGGTAGTACTGTTATTCGTCTGGACATTAACGAAATTGCTCGCTATTACCACAATGAGAAACAAGAGCGAATTCATGTTGTGAATCAGGGCTTCTCCTAGCGTTTACAACTGCGCCAATTGTTCTGAAACAAAATAAAAAAGGGCCGGTCGTTACAAGGTTTTAGAAAAAGTGAATACCAGTAGTATGTTGAAGGTTTTTTTTGAAATTTCGAGTGTAAATTGTATACACCTTGATCCCGCCTATACTCTATATTTCGTAGCTGCTCCTTCGTTAGGTCAAGAAATGAAGAAAATTTATATTCGAAATTTATATTTGTAAATCTCGGTTTTGTTATATTTACCTGTTCCATGGTGAATATAACAGCTTAATACGTCAAATTTGATCAATCAACTTTTGGGATTTGCTATATTCACTTGCGCAAAAATACTAATTACCCAATGGCAATGCCATTAATATTCCTGGTTGTACAACACTGGCTTAACCACTTTTAACTACCCGTTTTGTACTTATAAATAGTAGTTCTCTAGCAAATAGTAAATCTCAATTCAAATACACTACTATTCTAATTAGTTAGCTGTTGAACAAAGTGTAGTTAGCTACTTTTCTATATAACCAGCCCCTGAATATAGGTTACCCCCTGAATAGGTTACTTACGCAGCCATGTTGGATTAATATGACAAGGCCCGAAGGGATTTTTCTTGTTTGAAATTTCATCCAACATGGCGTACGTCTCTCTTTTGCACATATCTTGACCAATTGCACTCCACCTATATATGGAGTACTTGATGTGCAACTATTCATATTTCGCAGACAAAATAAAATATTTCTCGCGAAGAATAGTCAGGCTTGTTTGCTAAATCTATCATTAACTTCGGTATTTTTAACATTTAATTTCTCAAAGAGAATACATGGTATTATATTTATATTTTGTAAAACTGTTAGTCTTGAAGTATTCTATATATAAGGCGTCAGTGATTGCCTTGGTGAAATTAATTTGCGAAGAAAAATGTACGACAACCATTTTTCGAATCGGTCTATATCTATATTGTATAGTCGCAATTAAATTAAATATTTACTCGAAAATTTCGTAATACCTTCAAAATTAAAATTCGTTTGCTTCACCCCGTTTAGTACCGCGAGCTGTGACTGTGCATTATCATTGGCCCTTTTGTTGCCCAAATTTAATTGACTTTTTCGAGACTTTCTGATCTTTTCAAAGTGCCAACAACAACATATAGGCAATAGTCATTCAAGGAGTAATGAACAAAGTCAAAGTACGACAGGCAGACCACAAAAGCTAATTTCCTGTGTTATCTGTGCCTGCGAGTGCGTTTTATGTACACAGCTGTCATATGATATGGAGTTTTAGGTGTATGAAGCGGCCAAAAGCGAATGAAGACTTTGGAAGTTGATTGTTGGACAAATATACTTAAATTAATTTTACTGATCAGTTTCCACAGTAGATGCCAGAAAGATTGTTTGATTGACAACTAACGTTATATTTAATATCCATGTTTGGGAGCGATGGAGCGACGCGGATTGGTATAGGAATATACAACTACCTTAAAAATACAACGAAAACTCCGACATTCCCGGTATCACTAATGTTTTCAGGTAGTAATTGTATCCCTACTTACGCTGGCACACGCCGTTCGAGTGACGGTTCAAATTTTAGTTGAACAAAGACGGCTGCACTCGGACACTGCACATAGCTCGAATGTGCTCGAACTGATTAAGTTATGTATCATGTATAATTTATACAATGCATGGCAAATAGACCTTTCCCCTAATATGAGTGAAATTTTGATCTAGACAAGCCTGGACAAAAATTTCATCACAGCTTGAAAGAGCATCACAAAATTAGTAATATTCCGAAGTTTCGTTGCGAAATGTTGTAAAATGCGGATAATATAGCCTTGCGAAGTTTGCCGTTTTTCAGTCATTTTGTATTACAAATGGAAATTGGTAATCGGTTCGATCATCTGATTACCAATTTCCGTTTGCAATGCAAAATGACTGAAAAACGGCAAACTTCGCAACAACCGATTATCAATTTCCATTTGTAATACAAAATGACTGAAAAACGGCAAACTTCGCAAGGCTATATTATTCGCGTTTTACAACATTTCGCAACGAAACTTCGGAATATTACTAATTTTGCGATGCTCTTTCAAGCTGTGATGAAATAATTGTCCAGACTTGTCTAGATCAAAATTTCATTCAAAAGGGGAAAGGTCTATTACGCATTCAGTTTACTCCCTTTTGACATAGAATAAAGATCAGTAACATGCAGAAGGGCCACTCAGCAACGTGTCCTCGTTTTTTTTATGCAAAAATATGCAGTTTACTGGCCAGAAGGCGGAGCAGCCAGCTAGTGTAGCGTGTTTATTGGCCAGAAAATGTCATTGACTGGCTAGGAAAATGGCGGCCAACATGCGTATTGCGACATGCGCGAGGACAGAAACTTCAAAGCTTCCGACGTAAGTGGCCCTTTTTGACCAATTTTGTTACTCGCCAATTTCTTCTTAGAATTGTTAGAAATGCCTTAATTGTAAATGTGAACTTATTTCGCTCAATAGTTTCGGTGCGGAAATTGTCTGCGAAGACGATACGAAAAACCTCATATTTGCAGACACTGCAGAGAAAACGGAACATTGAAATCTCAAGGGGTCAAGCGCATAGATTCCAATTCGCATGATCGTGTATTGTCCTTGAATTTTAGGCCGCTGCTTATTGGCATTGCGAGTTATTGCAGTGCACTAACGGAAAATGGTGTTTTCTCTTCAATTATTAAATATATAGTGTGCACAAAATGCTGCCCAATATCTGTTGAACTGAGATATGATGGTCTAGAAGCCCGCCAAACTTCAAAGCTAAAAAATAGAAGACCTCTTTCTTTGATGTTGAACTTTACCTCAATCCTCATCCTTTGTCTTCGAAAATACCGGCAACTCTATCACAGTGGCCGTTCACAAAGTAACATATACTCAGACAAAAACCTATCACAATGACTTCTGTTAAATTTCCAGGCCATCATGTCTTGAACGTCTTGAATTAGGCTATGCGTAGCTGGTCTTCAATTTCCAGTGTTTCAGTTAGTTTTATTTTATTACAGAGTTGTGAATAATGCTCTCATAACTACATTTCTGACACTGCATATATAGTAGCTAGCTAGGCAGGTCTGAATCAACAATTCAATATGAAAAGATTTCGGAAAAATAGCTTTGGCCTTCGGCTTTGAGCTGAAATTTTTGTTGAGAAGATTTTTTTACATAGTTTTGCCAATAGTTTAGTCGCTCTGAGCATATATATGAAATATATTTTCGTTTTCTATGCCTATGGGAAGAATTTTAAAAATGCCACTTGCAACTATTGTGTAATTATACCTGGCACAATACGGCAATACCTGCTGTTTTATTCAAAATTTACATAAACACTTTCGGAATACAATCGTATCAACCGATTATTTCACGTTTGGAATATTTATGTTTATAAACAACGTGCGAAAATATTGTGATAATCTTGGCGAATTTCTGCCATTTCGCAAAGATAGCTATACATTGCTATAGGAGACACTACTTCCAAGAACCCGTGTGAATTTCAACACTTCAACAGCGCCGCGTTTAATACGAAACCATATTAATAATCTCTGAGGACTGAGACATACATTTATATTTACACTGATGTTATACAACTTAATCCGTATTGATATTCAAGTATCATTTTCCTTCAGTTGCAGCCTATATTAAATTTTCGTACTCAAACAATTCCAACATAAGCAAACATGGCTTATTATACAAACAGGCCTATAAATAGGCGACTTCTTGCAACATAATTCCAGTGCAATGTCATGTTCTGCATACATTTTGTAGCCACGGATTCCCTAAATCAACGACTCTAAAATTCTAAATCAATACTTTATAGCCACTCGCTTTTATAATCCTAACCGGGGTCTTAACCCTATTAACCTCGTACAACCCTATCAATTATCAGCCCGCTAGACAGGTATTTTATATAAAAATTTCCTCGCGTGCATATAGTGATAAAACTATCTGCCACGCGGCGAATATGATGTATATTATTAATAAAGCTAATATACTATTTTAAATATACTTCAACAGAAAGCATTTGCAACAGTCAATATCACAGAGTAAGAGTAAAGTCGATTAAACTATAATCTGTACTGTCTGTAGTGCATGTAGCTATAATACAAGTCGCGTAACCTGACGCGACTTTACTTGTCTTTAGATACTTGTTTGACTGATAAAATAAAAATGTCACCGAGCCAAACCAAATGGCAAATGACAATCAAAATATGAAACTTTTTACTCACCTTTTATCGCAGATGTATTTCCACAATATTTTACATAATAATTGTGATCCTGTAATACTTTCTTTGGCAGTAGTGTGGCGTAACAGCAACGATGTCACACAATGTCAATGTTTACTCGCCGTCTGTATATAGTCCGTATAATTGAGAAAAATAAGTGGGTGGAGCGAAGAGTGGACAAGCAACCGCTGGAAATTTCATGTGATTTTGAAATTTCTTATTTTATACCGCATCACTTATCGTCAGGATATTATTTCAACTTTTAACCAAGTTCGCAAAGTCGGACTGGCGTTAAAGTTTTGATATCAAAGTACGCACAGGAAACCAGTTAAGTTCGTCACAACTTGTAATGGAGCGGGCAAACCGGGTCCGTTCGAACGGGCCTGACCGGTTAACCAACGTCAATTCGACACAAAAACTAGTAAATTCTGCTTAGATGATGTATTTTATTTCATATGTTTTGGCTGTTAAAATACTCAGGAGTCTGGTACACTGAAACACCTCTACCCCAACTGCCAAGAATGGGCTGCTGTGAGCCAAGAGTAGACAAATACATACATTGATACATTATTAATCATGATATACATTATTACCTCCGCCAGGAGGTTATGTAATCATCTGGGTTTGTATGTGTGTGTGTGTGTGTGTGTATGTGTGTGTGTATGTGTGTGTGTGTGTATGTGTGTGTGTGTGTATGTGTGTGTGTTTGTCTGTGAGCACGATAACTCAAGAAATACCAAACATATCCGTACGAAATTTTTTGAATGCATTTCCCATCGGCTAGGGAAGAACTGATTAAAATTTGGTTGAATTTGGTTAAAAATTGAACGAGAAATGAACAAAATTTTGTCTTGCTTTTCCCGGTCAATTAACAAAATATATTACTGAATGCGTAATTAGGACGTGTATAATTTATGCACTCAGTGCTAAGACAATAATGAGATGATAAACCTCATTAAGCTTCGGCCTTCATTATCTATTGTCTTAGTTGCATTTCACGCGACCGAAATTCAATGTCTAAAACAAGGCTTATGGAGTTACGCATTATTACGTTCAGCAAAGTGCCAGTCCATTCAAATTCTAACAACATTAGATTACTTCAATACAGGGTGTATAAAAAGAACGCAACCTCGGAATTTCCTAAGAAATCGACATTGTTTTAAAGACAAAAGATTTTAGCTGCCTGGGAATTTAAAATAGCACAACTGTGAAAATTACTGCACGCGCGAGTGCATAAAGCAAAATTTGTGCATTTATTTAATGACACTTAAAAAGTTTTTATTTTACAAGTACTGTACAGTACAACAACAGTAATATGTTCTATTAGCAATTAAATTTCAATTCGCGGGGGCCTGAAATCTTTTATGCTTAAGAATTGTAAAGTGGATTTCTTAGGAAATTCCAAGGTTGCCTTTCACTTCCGAGTAGCGGGCGGAGGTATGCAGTCTCTGAGTGCCCTCTAGTTCAGCTTGAGTTTAACTTCCTCTATTGATATCTGGGCTTAAGCTTTTCACTGACCGATTACATGCTTACTTGTATTACTTATATTACCTATTTAGTTATAGCCTAGACATGCATGCATGCACGTGTATTATTTATCTTTACATTAATTGTGATATTACTTTCCTATGTTTATCCCCGTGGCAGGAAACCTGATAAACCCACGACTTTAGTCCTGAGAGAGAGAATTCAGAGAAAACTGACAACTTTACTCGTTTAGGCTCTTTACACATGAGTCCGGACTGACCGGACAATCAAACCCACGATCTCAAAAGCCAGCTGGACAGCTGGTTTGCATATGGTCGTAACGGTCGTAAAGATTGAGTCACGATCTTTCTGACTTATGATCTCATCAGTCTAAAATCTAAATACAATTTTAGAACTGAAAAATTGAAAACACGCGGAGTGATTATAACTAGAGAATACTCATGATTTATATGTGGTATACAGGTATAAACTATTATAAACTGGCCGTTGAGATTTGAGAAAGATCGTGACTCTATTTTTACGACCATATATATCAACCGGGCTAGACAACTGCACTACCGAAGGCCCATACTCTACTCCATAGACCATAGTCTCCATAGGCATATCCATACGTATACTCATGGGCATAGAGCAGTACGTATTTTACTGATCTTCAATGAGATAAATTGGAAGACGTGTTGGATATTGATTTTTCTGTGTTGGTGTAATTGTACTCGGGTGAATATGATGCTTGTGATGTCACACTGAGTGTATACCCACACCGGGCAAGTTTGAAAAATATGGGGGCAAATATGCCTGGCCACGGTGGGAATCGAACCTATGATCTTTGGAAATGGAATGATAGCGCAGGCATACCGCATGTGAACCAGGCTTAATAACCTTTTAAGTCTTTAAGCTTTTAAGTTTTTTTAAAGACTAAAAAAAAACTTAAAAGCTGTTATATAATTCTATTCTGAAGTCAGAACCGAAATGGATTTTGACCAATACAGATAACAATATTACATTGATATCGAAGGAACTAGATTCGGTTCCGAAATATCACATACTCGAGCCGACCTGACCGCGTGGCTCTGTTTACAGCTATTGATGCATACATTAATTCTTTTGTGAATTATTTGGTTGATCATGAAATGGTATTCGACAATAGCCTGCCGACCTATCGCAGGTATATGTGAACCAGGCCTAATCAAATTTAACCAACTTTAGCGAATTTTGTCGCTAGGCCGATCGCAAATCTGCTTTCCAGATCACGAATCTATTTAATAATAATATCTATGTTCGAATATGTCTTCCAATGTAACACTATACAGTATCATCACGATTTCGTTTTCGAAGGGATGCTGGAAGCCTCCGCGGAGGAGTCAGGAGTGTAGAACTGTACCACGTCCGTTTCAACAAAAATTTACCAAAATTACAAATCAAAAACAATGGCATACTACGACTTGTAGTGCCGTTTGGAAGCGTTGGAAATGTTATTTGAGCCAATCAGTATCCTACTTGAATTTCTTCTTGCCGTGGACACGTGTATACCGAAACAGGAAACCTGATTTTAGTCGGTGCTGCTCAACCGTGCGACGAGACAGCGGGAGCAACTGTGAACATTAGGGATAGTTGGTGAGGGTTGGGAAACCTAACCTTAACCAATCACGCTAATCGTTAACCAGATCGGCCAATCAAAGGCGATTCTATGGAAAGCCATTAACGTACCTTACCCTAACGCTTCCGATATAACACTGAGATACGTTCGTATTTATGTACGTCGGTGTATGTATATGGCGGGCATGTGGGACGGTGATAATCAATGGAGACGATTGACTCTCGGAGTCGAAACCTCAGTGGTCGAAACATTAAAAATACGCACGAATTAAGTAATCGGTACCTTCTCTAGTACTAAATTAAAAATGTCCGTGAAATAATATAAGATGACTCGGAGCTATGACTGCGTTCATCACGAATATGTGTACGCATGCGCATAAAGGAAACGGTTTATGATAACTAAGAATGTCTTAGAAAGACCACAGGACTTTTTACTACACGGCCATGTATGAGCAAATTCAGGGACTATTAAATACTGAAGAGAAGGGGTTAAATATCAGTAAAATCTGACGTTGAATTGTTCAAAACGCAACTTTAATGAGTTTCAAACAGCTTACAGCTTTGACACCCTTGTCAGATATGAACGTACATGCAAAATCAATTCAACAAAATGTCCGTTTTGAATGTCAAACAATTTCAGAAAATATCCATAAACTTTAGCAAGGACTTTCGAGTACTTCTTTACAAATTTAAGGACGTTCAAGGCCATGAATTTGTGTTTTCAAATTCAAGGACATTCAAGGACTTCCAGGACTTTCAAGTTCTGTACGAATCCTGTATTGAAATTTGGCGGTTAAATGCAGCATTTTGTTTTTTAACTGTAGGTTATCACATAGGCGTACGGGAGGGGAACTATAGGGGTGGGGTGGGGGAAGGTGCGGACAAAAATTTGAGACTGAACGTCTGAAACTGATAAACCAGGTACTATAAAGGCTATATCGATCCCTTTGTTGTTGTTTCCACACAATCAATATACTAATATGGTCGAGCGTCTACTTCGTTCAATGGTTAGATGAATGATCTTATGATATTACAAATGTTGCAGACTTGTCCAACAAATCGTGAATTATTTAACCAATTAGCTCGATGTACTGCGTTCAATTCATGTTTATAGAAGTCTTGTAACAAAATTCAGTGTCATGATCATTTTATTGGAAACTGAGCGCGATGTTTCTACAAAACAAGGGTTTTATTACCTATTATATTGCCGATAAGTAACAAAACAGGTTTCCTAAAAAATTGTGTGATAAAATCTTGAGACGTGGGAGTTGGCAGCTCTGAATGTCGTGACGTCACGCATGCACAGGAACCATTCTTGGAACCGGAAGCGAGGAGATAAAACTGGAACACAAATATTCTCAGTCATATTTTACTTGTTTATCATTTCATTTTACTCATATATATACGTTGTTTGCTTTTACTTTTCCAATTCACCATGAGTCGATTTAAAACATGGAAATACAAGAATGCAGCACCCAAGATACCGGACGCAAAGGTAAAATACGGTTGATTAACTTGATTTATAGCTATAAACGTACTTTGGCTGTATTGGTATATCCGTGTATGCTAGCCTGGAAAATTTATACATGATGTTTTTATGGTTATCTGCGTTGCTGCTTTGCGAGAGACCATGGCTTTTATTAACGTATTGTGAAGTGTGGCTTGGTGGACGTTTTTAGCCGCAGGAAATATGTGATCGACATGACAAAATAAATTTTTGAAATTATTTTAGCCATTGAGGTGGGGCTATATATGCCCAATTCTGGATTTTTGACGGCTTTTTGACATGTATGGAAGAATTGTGGTTAGTTTCATCCAGTTAATGCCTGAGATAGTCGGCCAAGCATGACAAGCAAGGTGTAGAGTTGGCAATGCTGTCCATTGTACATTCCATGTAAACAATATGTGGCAATAGTCTATTTCTTGGTGTTTCAGGGACTCACTACATGTATTACTGCAGGGCTTGAAATATTAAACAGCCAATCAATGATCGGCATGAAATTGTTTATCATTGTCAAAAAAACAGGGTTTTCAACCAGGAAAAGTTGCGGCCGAGTTCCAGGAGAATGATAATCTTAAGTAATGCAAACCTTAATCAGGATCTTAACCCATTGAGCCGCAATGCGCCCTACATATTTTTTTTTTACTTGTCTAACGCCAGACGATTTTACTCGTCAGCGGGGAAGCTCTGCAGCTTAATGTGTTATGTATATACCTTAATACTTGTATTAAAATTTGTGTCGTATACATCATTTCCCCTCAGCTTTAAATTTGCGGATTTAATTTCACACACCTTGTTGAGACTTATTCGCGCAGCTTTAAATTTACGCAAGTAATTTTCTGTGTTCGTTTAATAGAACTTTTATTTAATAGAACAATTAACACATTTATAATGAGTATTTTTTATCAACAAATAGTTTCTTCAATATTTGTCAAAACTTAAAGGTGATCTACAGTCCGTATGTAAACAAAGCCTTTGTTTACATTTTTGTGTCGAAAATATTGAGCTTTATTGGTCTTTATTCGACAACTATTTATATTTTCAAGCTTCTAGAGTATAATAAATGATCAAGAAACAACAATTAGGCTTTTCAAGAACTCAAAACATAGTTAAACTGTTTGTATCATAAAAAGTGGGCTCATTTGTGCACATGCGCAGATCGGACTGTAGATCACCTTTAATCAAAAAGCAATTAGGTGACCTCAAAAATGGCTTCAAAATTATGCAATGTAAGCAAAATTCATGATAACAATAAAGTGTGAGTTCAAAATACCAACAAGAACTAAACATTTTCCTAATACAATAACATAATGCAAATAATAATGCAAATTAGTTAATAAATCAACTGATTTGCATTACTAACACTTGATGAGTATCTCATATTACACCACAAAGCTTTTCGTGTGGATTATATTTCGCGCAGTAAGAGGTGTAACTTAACACTTGCTTGCTTGCCCGGGGCAAGTGAATATCATGACTGGCAAGTAAACATTTTATCTTGCTTGCCCCGATTGGGCAAGTTGCCTTGCCAAAAAAACCTGGACATCTTTAAGTTTATGTTTTCATTTTCAGATATAATTTTTTTATAGTGCATGTACTTGATTGAAATTTTGTATTTTGTGGGCCACAGCTAGATCTGAGGCAGTATAACATAGCCATATAGAGCAGACCAGCAGTGGGAGAATGGGTTGACATGTTGTCCCCTTAATTTATACCTTAATTTATCACAACTTGTTAAGAAGCTCACTACAAGCCTATTGAGGAGACATCTTGTTGAGAAGTTGTTAGAACAGCATTGTCACAACTTGTTAACAAGCTTGCTACAATCCTCTTGCAGAGACATCTTGTTGATCAAGTTGTTGGAACAGCATTATCACAACTTGTCAACAAACTTGCTACAAACCTGTTGCAAAAAGTCTTGTTGACAAGTTGTTGGAACAGCATTGTCACAACTTGTTAACAAGCTTGCTACAAACCTGTCTTTTGACACGTTTTTGGAACAGCATTGTTATAACTTGTTAACAAGCTTGCTACAAACCTGCAGTATTGCAAACACATCTTGTTGACAAGTTGTTGGAACGGCATTTTCACAACTTGAGAACAAGCTTGCTACAAGCCTGTTGAGGAGACATCTTGTTGACAAGTTGTTGGAAGTGACTTGGAACAGCATTGTCACAACTTGTTAACAAGCTTGCTACAAACCCATTGCAAACACATCTTGTTGACAAGTTGTTGGAACATCATTGTCACAATTTGTTAACAAGCTTGCTACAAACCTGCAGTATTGCAAACACATCTTGTTGACAAGTTGTCGGAACGGCATTGTCACAACTTGTCAACAAGCTTGCAACAAGCCTGTTGAGGAGACATCTTGTTGACAAGTTTTTTGAACAGTATTGTCACAACTTGTTAACAAGCTTGCTACAAACCTATTGCAAACACATCTTATTGACAAGTTGTTGGAACAGCATTGTCACAACTTGTTAACAAGCTTGCTACAAACCTGCAGTATTGCAAACACATCTTGTTGACAATTAGTTGTTGGAACAGCATTGTCACAACTTGTCAACAAGCTTACTACAAGCCTATTGAGGAGACATCTTGTTGACAAGTTGTTGCAACAGCATTGTCAGAACTTGTTTGGCCAAAAAAAAATATGTGGGTTTCCGGTTTCCCAACCCTACCTAGCTTTTGGACGTCGAAATCCCGACCCCAAACTTTTTTATTGGATCATGCTCAGTGTGACCAGATTTTTTCAGCAGTCATTACCAAAATTTTGTTCAAATTTTACTAAATTAAGAAAATTTTTACCAAATATCGGCTTTCCAAATAATTACGTCATAATAATGCCAAAAAACAATAGTTGCGTCATCAAAGTAGAAAAAATATGCACAAAAAGCATCTCGAAATACTTGTTGCTTTCATCTGTTGCAGTTTTTGCTAATGATACGGCTTTATTTCTTAGGCTTGGCAGTTCTGTTCATCACTTTGAGCACGTTATTAAACAAGAAACACACATTTTTACCAAAATGATTATTAATCATTAAAACCTTTCAGATTTTACCAAAATTTTACCAAAAAAAACTTATTTACCAAATTTTCTTGAAAATTCACAAAATTTTACCAAAAGTAAAACTTTTTACCAAATCAGGTCACACCACTGAGGGTCACACTGATCATGCTTGCAAGTGTTTCCACTTAGAGGAAAAAGTTTGTGGAAAATTGAAATTTGAGGCAATATTAGCGAAATTTATCTTTGGATGTGGAAGCACTGACTAAACAAAATGGCGTCTGCTTGTTCGGAAAATTAAAAAGAAAGTTTAAAAAAAAAAAGTTAAAAACTTAAAACCGACCTACCCTACCTAAGGTTTTATAAGAAGAAACCGGAAACCCGCATATATTTTTTGGCCTTAGCAAGCTTTCTACAAGCCTGTTGAGGAGACATCTTGTTGACAAGTTTTTTGAACAGCGTTGTCACAACTTGTTAACAAGCTTGCTACAAACCTATTGCAAACACATCTTATTGACAAGTTGTTGGAACAGCATTGTCACATCTTGTTAAGACTGTTAACAAGCTTGCTACAAACCTGTCTTTTGACACGTTTTTGGAACAGCAT